CGTCTTAGGGATGCCTGGCAGATTATGATTGGCTAAAAGTTTTAACAAAGAAAGTTCAGTTATAAGCTATAGAAAATTCCACTAGTACAGTAACATTTAAAGTTTATACAACACCTGGGATGGGGGTTTATTTTCAGCTTAAGCAGTCTCTGTTTGACCTGGTTTGGTCTGTTTGTTCTGCCATGCGGCTACTGGAAACAGGACGTGCTTGCCTGGGGGTTGAGCCTTCCAACACAACTATTTTATGACTAACAGTTATGCTTGGCTAAAGCGTATCATGCTACATTCTTTGTTGTGGGTCTGGTTGCTCGTTCCTTCCCTGGCCTGGAGCCCTGCCTTGACAGGGTCTTGCTGGCCACAACAACTTCAGAGAAACTGACTTCAAAAAAATACTGCATCACTGACTTAAAAATAATTTTAGTGTAAGCATCACATAGATTCCTCATCTGACAAATGAGAACAAATCAAATCCTTGAGATCTTTGATCATTACTGCTTATTTTTAACACATGTAATATAGTTCAGCTTGCCATCAATTCTATGAGGCAAATTTAAACTTTAATTTCCTATGTCTCTTTCTTCTCTTACATCCTGCTTACTTAGGGAGAAGTTTCAGCAACAGGTCTGGCAATTTTCTGCAGATCACTGGGGGAGGGATTGGACAAAGGGAAAGATGGGTGTAGCCACTCAAATGCAAATGAACACATTCTTTAGCTGAAGACTCCCAGCCATTCATATGTAAACTTGTTACCACTACCTGCCTCAGGGTGGGAAATTTCAAAAGCTGCTTACAATGCCTTGGGAAACCAGTTTTAATTTATCTCCCAGTTAATCTCCACAATTTTTAAAGCTCATTCTGTACACAGAAAAGATGTTAAGCACAGCCCAAAACTATGTGCACTTGTTTTGAAATGCCTTTTCGCTTTTAAGCACAGAAAATCGAGATGCATAAAAACTTCCTTGGGGAGTGGTTTTCACATTGAATCGCCAAGTGTCTCTCCTCCCCCACCTCCTACCTGCTCTGGGGGGAAAGAGTAGCAAATTTACAAACAAGAGCAAACTGAAACCTTTAGTTATTCAAACATACAAACAAAGAACACAGAAACAGACAGAAGGCTCCTGGGAACAGTCTTCCAATTGTGGAATCAAAACCAAACAATGGCCTCACACCGACTGGTGTCCCTCCAACATTGAAAGCTGGCCACCCACTAGAACAAGTCTGCCACTGGCCATTGTGAACCTCTACAACACAGAACATCACAACAATCAACAAGAGGATGCCCAACATCAACATTTCAACTTAAAACCACACTTGGGAGAGGTCCGCTTCTTTCCTGCCTTTACAAGAGCACAGAAATTCGCCCATGAGACCTCTTCTCCCAGACCGATGCCGCCAAGCCGGCCCAGGCCCCTGAGCCAGGCTGCTGCCACCGCTCCACCCCAGCTGTGCTGCTCAGAGGGCCCCCGAGGAGGCAGGGAGGGAGCACAGGTCACCCCACCGGCTTCCTGACTCTGCTTCCCCTTCTCCAGGCAGCCAGCAAAATTAACCCACGTTGTATTTATATGCATGCATACAAGTCCTTCAGTTGATCTATTATCTCCCTAGTTCTCCCTACCCTCCCCGCTGTAATTTGACAGTCTGCTTGTTGTTTTACAATCTCTATATCTATCTTTGGACATAGAGGCAATAGGCCTTTTGGGGATGGTGGTAGATGGTGCAGCAGGGGAGGGGGAACACATTGCTGGGCCCCACCCCAGAGGTGTTGATTCAGCAGGGTGGAATCCGGGAATGTGCATTTCTAACAAGTTCCTAATTGTTGATTGTTGCTGGTCTGAAGACCACACTTTGGGAACTACTGGTCAATAAACTCAGAAACAGCTGAATGATAAAAAAAAAAAAAAAAATATTAACCCAGGTGACTCCCCTCCACCCCCCGAGTGAGGCCGCTACTGCCCAGCCATGCTCCGATGCGCAGATTAAGCATTGTGGAAGCCCCCCACCCTGACACAAGCCGCCAGGGGGCCCAGCACCACCATGCAGGCCCCACTTCACCGGCTCCATCCTGGTGAGCCATGCCTCCCGCCGATACCAAAATCATACCTGGGAAAGGCTCTCGTCACTTTCCCACATGTGAGGCATCAGCTCATGCAGCTTGCCTCGTCGTGGGAGAGGTTTTCATCCCTCTCCCACATGTTAGGGGCCCTCTAGGAGAGGATCCCACGTCTCTTCTGCCTGTAAGGGGCCCTCTCGTGAGGTTGGAATGTCTTCCAAATCCTCCAGCCCGTGGTCTTCCAGCAATGCGTCCATTTAGACCTCTTCAGGCACTATGGACACGAGGGGATTCCACGTCCCTCCAGAGCGCTCACACAAGGACACAGACACACACACACTTACCACGGCCAGTCAGGCTCTCTGGATCGGAGACCCTCATGGTCTTGGGGATCCCAGACGAATCCCCCATATGTTAATCCCAGACTTTATGATCCTCAAGGACCACCAGGGAGCCGAATCCGATGCAATAAACCAAAGAGCATCTTCCATGCTACATGGGCTCTGTCCCACTCACGCCAACAGCATGGCAGAAGAGAGCCTAAACTTCTCTTTTAAATAGGAACATAAAAACACAGTAGGGCTTTGCACAAGTGGAATTTCTAAACAGTTGGTTTGTATACACATCAAAATAAGTTAGAATGGAATTCATCCAGGACTTTCCAAGTCCCCTGCGAGGCCTCACACCTCTTTTGCAAAGGTTGGGGGTGAGGGGTGAGGAAAAGTCCAAGGCACAGGAAAAGGGCCTTCAAGTATCAACTCACAGAGGGTCAGCTGATGGTGGGACTGTGGGAGGGAAGGAGAGCCCCACCCTGGGGCCCCGAACCTTCTCCCTTGGTTTTCCAAGACCAAGGCCACTGTGCTGACAGGAGGGAAAGGAAGAGAAGGAGGAAGAGGAGGAGGAGGAGGAGGAGGAGGAGGAGGAGGAGGAGGAGGAGGAGGACAAGGAGGAGGAGGAGGAAGAGAAAAGAAGAATAGGGAGGGAGAGGGGAAGGGGGAGCTGGAGGTGAAGGGGAAGGAGCTGGAGGTGAAGGGGAGGGCAGGGGGAGGTTCAGGGTTCCTTTTGGTACCAGGGGAGAAAGACATCATGGGAAGAGGTAGTTGTCAGGGCTGATGCTCTGAGCAGGAGAAAATGTCTTCTACAGTGACAAGGTCACTTTCCACCTGAGGGTCATTGTGGAGGACATTGGGCGCTGGGGGGCCTGGGGTCTAGAGAGCACACTTGGGGTGAGGCTCCATGGGCCCCAGCCCTCTCATCTGTTGCTTAGTGGGAGCTGTAGCAGAGAAGGAGGGGCCCCTGGCTGCCTGGTCCCAGGCCACCGGGTCCTCCCCTCAAACCTGATCACAGCCACCCTGAGGCTGGGCTTGGCCCTTCACTAAGATACAGCCTTGGAGGGGTTGCATTGCAAAGTGGTTCCCCACCCTCAGCTGTCCCCGCACCTGGTGCCTGAGCTGAAATTGGTAGTTTCACCTCCTTCTGTGCCTTTGGGGACAGCCCTGCCCCACCCTCCCCACGGATGCCTCAGGAGGCCAGTGGACAGGAGTCTGGGTGCCCTGGGTTCTGAATGTGCTATTTCCCTACCTGTGCCTGCAGCCTCCAGTTCCAGGGGCTGGAGTCACCTTGGGACAGGCCAGGCTGAGGGAGGTCTGGCCTTTGGTGGGTGATGCAGAGCGAGTCACTGGCCAGAGGCTGGGAGCAGTTGGAGGGCCTGCCCCACTGCCTCCTCCTGCTTCTCAGCAGCCTCCTGAGCCTCCCTGCCAGCAGCTGGGCCCCCAGGAGCAGAGCACAGCACCCTGAGTTTCCCTGGCCAGGAGGCTCTAGGTTGGGGAGCACAAAGCACACAAGAAAGCTTCCCTTGGGAAAAGAAAATGGTCTCTATCAGAAAAGGTTATGGGCGACACAGAGTTGAAAAGGAAAAATATAGAATAAATTGCCTCCCAAATACCCCCATTTGTGTGTGTGTGTGTGTGTGTGTGTGTGTGTGTGTGTGTTGTGTATGTGTGTATTTTTTCCAATCTGGTCCTCATTTTCCTTTTTAAATGTTGCTCTTCCCCTGACCCTGCATGCTCTTGGCTGTCCCTATCCTCAAAATGGATTCTTGTTACACCTCAAAGAAGACAAATGCTCCAGCACCACTCCTGACAGTCCCTTTGGGTCCCCAGTGACCTCTTCACAGTGCCGCCCCAGCCCCCTCACCCGCTCCAGGGGCTTCTTCCTGTCCTAGTTAGTGTGGCCTGACCAAGGCATGTCTGGGCTCAGCTCATAGCGGGTACCCTCAGCTGAGACATACCAGGTGTGGAGCTCCAGCTAAAACAGAATTGGGTGACATCTGCCAAAACCACATTAGGGTGGTAGGACCGGGGTTCTGGGAAAGGCGTGTGCAGGCCAGGTTGGGGTGCACATGCACCTGGCTCCAGGGCAGCTCCGGAGGCACCGGGAGGTAGAAGGCCAAGGCTCTGCCTACTCTGGGCCTGGGCTATTCCCAGCCGGGGGCTCGTGGATGGGGGCGGGCAGTGCTGAGCAGTTGGGAATTCCAACATCTCTAGAGCAGACAGAGGAGAAACAAGGCCTGCCAGGAGTGATCCCTTCTCAGTGACAGGGCCCCTGAGGGGCCATCATATGGCCCTGCTCACACTGGCTGCCCCACTGCTGTGGGCCTGCAGACACCTGAGAACCTGTGCCCTTGTGACCTGTCCCTTTTTCCACTCTCCCACAGCAGCAGGCCCAGGTCCCTGTTACCCTTTCTTCCCCGAAAGGCCCGGGGCCTGGACCCGGTTCACAGTTCAGGCCAGTAGTACAGTCCATTTGGTCACAAGTCCCTAGTGGTGCAAATCGGGGAAACGCTCCGCCAGTGGGGCCCTAGCTCATTTCCCAGCTGCAGGAGCACAGCCCGCGGGTCTCAACCCCCATGCCCAGGCCCTCTCACCCGGTTCTGGATGGCCCAACTTTGCTATACTGCCTGGTGGTAGGCCATCTCCTTCATGACCTGCCAGGGGAGGACTCTGGCCTTGGAGCTGTCGTCCACACCAGCGTATGCATAGGCATTCTCCAGGAAGCCCTCCATCTCCTGCTGGCTACCAAGCTCCCAGGGGTCAGTGCCTGTCAGCTCTGTCATGGGGTCGTGGATATCTAAGCCGATGTCCATGATTCTGTGCTTGACCTTCATGTGCCGGTTCATGTTGCCTTTGAGGTTAAACTTGCGGGAGAAGTAAGGACACTGGAAAGGCTTGCTGCCCACGTTCAGGTGCATGTGGCCCTTGAGGGCCATGATTTTAGGGAACCTTTACCTCTCTGTGTCTGTTGGTTGAGCCTGTTTATTTGCTCCCTTACCCTTGGGACAGCCTCTGTCCTCTGCCTGGGGGACTTGCTTGTGATCACCCTGCCTTCCTCATAGTGGTACAAGGCAGGTGCCAGAAGAAGCCTGCAGGACAGAGTGGACACATGGGAGGGGGGGGCGGGCTCAGAAGTGTCTGTGATATGAACATCAGACTCCTTTCCCATCTCCTTCACCAAAGCCAGGTTCCTATATTAATTTCCTGTGTTTTTGGTGTGTTCCAATGTCACCCCCTGGAGGGTATAAGGTGACCTGCAGCTGCATCAGGGATGCTGACCAGGCTCCAGAGAGTGGGTGCTGACCCTGAGCACTGGGCAGAGATGGGCTCTGACCTCCAGAGTGAGTGGCCAATCACTGTGTGTCCCAGGCTGCCCAACTTCATCCCAGTGTAGGGTGAGCACATAGACAGGGTGGTGGTTGTCCAGAGGACTCTGGTTCTAGTTCTGATACTCCAGGAGGAGCTTGCTGTCCCTAAGGTTTCAAGAAAGGGTCTGGTGAGGGCTCCTGTGGGGCTTCCAGGAGAGGGTGCTGGCTTGGGGCTCTGATGCCCAGGATACATTGTGTGTCCCCATCACAGCATTGGGGCACTGCATCCAAGTCACCTGTGTCCATGACTGTCATCTGCTCTAGGCCTCCCCACTGGGTCCCAGATCTGGAGCAGCTACACCTGGAGACTCAGCAGGGACCCTGAGAGGAGGCCCCCCAGGACCCTCAGCCCCTCTGAGGTGGAAGCCCCTCAGATCCTGGGTTCTCCAGACCTTTCCTGCTCAGGAAGCTCCCCAGGAAACCATGGGTTGGTGAGATGTTTTCAGAGACACAGCCAGGTGACCCCACAGATCAGGGCCTTTGGGCACAGGGATTTGCCCCCTGACTTCCTTTGAGGTAAAGGTGGGTTCCTTCCTCCTTTGATAGTAACTTCCTCCTTTGATAGTAAATTCAGAGTCCAGAATTTGTGCCAGGTCAGGTGTCACTGAAAAGAGGAAGGACACAGGCTGCCACCAAGACCCACTTCGGGAGATGAGATGTCACTCACCAGGCAGAGGTGGGGAGGACTGTGATTTTGGAGGAATGAATGGGGATCTGACCCCTCACTGTTAGGAGAGCCCTGCCCTTCCTTTTTGGGACAAACCATGGCCCTTGCTGGCCTCCTCCCATGCTGATATCAGGCCCTGATCTCCAGGGAACGTGTTCTGACCACAGATGTCTCAGGTGGTAGGATAAGAGGGCAGGTGCCAGGCTTTAATTGTGTGGTTTCCATCATTTATGTCTGTGAAGCCATGTGAGGGTGCAGACAGGCACAGTTGGGCATCAGTCTGTCTGGTATCAACCTGGGCACAAGGACTGGACCCTCCCATCTGTCATCAGGGGCTATCTTACATGCCAATGTCCTGGCTCCGCCTCCTGCTCTCACTGCAGCTTCCCTTCTCCTTAGACTCCTGATTCCCTCCTTGCTCAGCACGGCCTCTGTGGCACAAGGTCCAGGAACTCAAAATGACAAGTGACCAGACCATACTTCTCAGTTACCCTCCAGATATCAGAGGAAGGTTCAGGTGCTGGGATCAGGACAGCCTCATGGGAAAGGACCTCCAGGTCTGAGTAACCACCACCTGTGGGGACTGGCAGGTCCTATCATGGTGGGTGCCTTCATGCAGTGATTTGTTTCCAGAGCTTCCCACTGAATTGGCCCAGAGGCCTTGATTGAACAATAAAGAGGGCCTGGACCCTTTCTGCCTTGGAATAGACCCACCAATCAATGACAGTGGATGCAGGAACATCAGGGCTCAGGGACAGCATGCAGGCCACACACCTCTATCTTGAGAGCCAGGGGAGCTTAGGAATTAGCTCATCCTTCTGCTGGTGAGAGGAGTTGGGATCTGGGTGAGAATCCCCTAGCCTCCTCTAGTTTTGCTTTTTAGATTTAAAGGGATAAAGGGTAATGATTCCTACTGACAAACAAAATAGGTGCAGAGGCATGGATACATTAACCATATCTCAGAGGGGAGATAGTGGGGGTGACAAGAAGAGATTAACCAAAAAACATATGCATAGCCCATGGACACAGGCAATAATCGGGCAAAGGCCTGGGGTGAGGTGGAGGGGAGGAAAGGGTGCAGTGGGGGACATCTGTACTATTGTCAACAATAAAATTATTTTTAAAGTTGTAGCTAGCTTCTTGATAGAAGGGAACCCTTACATCACTGTAAAATGAAAACAATGCACTGGAATATTCTTTAGAAGAAAGCAAATACCATTTTCAATTTATCGGTAATTGTGATGCAGGTTTTACTTTTCTAGTTCATCACTGATAACAATTTCTGTAGTTTAGCTCATGGGAAATGGTAAAAGCCAGCCACAATCCATGTTTTAGTTCAAGAATGTGGACTCTATGTGGACTCTCCTGTGATTTTAAGCGTTCATTTAGGTCACCTTCTGTGAACATTAATGCCCCCCTCCTAACTCCTTAATGAGGGAACATTAAAGGTCTTGTAGTTCAGAGAGGGACCCAGGGATGGGGACAGTAGTTGTCAGCCCACAGGTGCTGGGAAGGAGACCTGACACTGTCCATTTCAGGGGCAAAATGCATTTTTAAGTTATGGTTGTCACAGTGTATGAGTCTGAAAATGTAGGGAAACTCCTATGATGTAAATTTCTTCTTAATAAGATGTTTTTTCCTAATGATAGAAATGACTGCATTTATTGCTAAGATGCTTGAGATGGTAAGAACATCGAGTAGGCATGGCATATAAATTTGTTAGGAGGTATTTTCTCTTCCCAGTGTCTACAGAATTTTCTTCACCTGACTTTGCAGAACAACCCACTGGTGTCACTCTGATTTGTGGGCACACCCTTTCGCAACCCAGCCTTCCAGCCAGTGAGCTAAGGCAGCCATCAGTCATCACCTTTAACTATGCCTCCTGCTGAACCTGAATGTGTCCTCTGACCAAGGTCAGACACAATCTCTCAACTCTGCTGCCCTTTTCTCTCCTTTTCCAGCAGGTGGCACACAGCCTGCTTAGTGGCTGCAGCTGAATGTGCCAGAGCCTTTCCACTGCAGAATCCAGCCCTTTCCCTGGGAACATTCCATTTCCTCACCTTCAGTGCTCCAGCCAAGGTCTCAGTCCTTTCCCACTCAGTCCTTCCCCATTCAGTCCTATACCAACTCTTTGTCCCCCTCACATTCAGCCAGCTCTGTCTGCCCAACTACCCAGTCCCTTCAGAGCTGCAGAATAGTTATTGCTGCCCCTGATCCCATCATTCTGGAGGCCCAGTCCTGCCTCCCTGGTCAGCTGTGGGACCAGGCTCTCAGGCTCCATGTCCTGATTTACCATCACCTGCCAGGAGGTGGCAGCAGCTGAAAAAAGGGGAGATGCAGGGACAGTTAATATTACCCTGTGAGTCTGCAAATGGACAAGTGGGGTAAGGTGCCGGAGGTTGGAGGGTTGGGGGAACATCAAGGAAATGATGGAATTTCCTGCTAATTTAGATGCTGGTAGTGTGTGCCTTGGGAATTTAACAGAGTTCATGGATATTTTCTTGGAGATAGATAAGGTAGTTGTAACTCAATATTTGGGTCCTCTCTCTTTGTTTCTTGATGCGTATGGCTAACGGCTTAATCAATTTTGTTTATCCTTTCAAAGAACCAGCTCTTAGTTTCATTGGCTGTTTGTATTGTATTTTTTTAAGTCTCTATGATATTTATTTCTGCTCTATTGTTTATTTTTTCCTTTTTCCTACTTGCTCTGGGCTTTTCTTATTCTCTTTTTAGTTCTTTAAGTTGTAAGGTTAAATAGTTTATTGCTGATTTTTCTTGTTTTTTGAGGTACGCCTATAGTGCAATGAACTTCCCTCTCAGGACTGCTTTTGCTGTGTCCCAGAGATTTGGGGTTGTTGTGTGTTCATTTTCATTTGTTCCCAGGAAGTTTTTATTTCTTTCTTGATCTCCTTGGTAACCCATTCAGTGTTTAATAACACGCTATTCAGCTTCCAGGTGTTTGAGTGTTTTTACTGTAGTTGATTTCTAATTTCATTCCACTGTGATCTGAGAAGATGCTTAATCTTATTTCAAACTTCTTGAACTTATAGAGACTTGTTTTATGTCCTAACATGTGGTCTATCTTTGTGAATGATCCGTGTGCACTTGGGAAGAATGTATATTCTGCTGTGTTGGGGTGAAATGTTGTATAAATGTCATTAAATCCATCTGATCCAGTGTGTCCTTTAGAGTCTCTGTTTCCTTGTTAAGTTTTTGTCTGGAAGATCTGTCCAGTGAAGTCAGAGGGATGTTAAAGTCTCCTACTATGATTATATTGCTATCAATCTCTCCATTAAAGTCCTCTAGAAGTTTTGTTATATATTTAGGTGCACCTATATTGGGTGCATATATGTTTATCAGGGTTATATTCTCTTGTTGGATCAGTCTCTTTAGTCTTATGTAGTGATCTTTGTTGTCTCTTGTGATGGCCTTCATTTTGAAGTCTATATTGTCAGATATGAGTAGTGTTCCTCCAGCTTTTTTCTTTTCCATTTGCATGGAAAATTTTTTCCAACCCCTCACTTTCATACTGTGTATGTCTTTTGTTTTGAGGTGTGTCTGTAGTAGACAGCATATAATTGGGTCATATTTTTGTCTCCATTCAGCTACCCCAAGCCTTTTTTTTTAAATATATTTTATTGGTTTTTTATAGGAAAGGACAGAGAGCTAGAAATATCGATGAGAGAGGAACATCAATCAGCTGCCTCCCGCATAACCCCACCGGGAATGTGCCCACAACCAAGGCACATGCCTCCAACCGGAATCGAACCCAGGACCCTTGAATCCACAGGCCGACGCTCTATCCGCTAAGCCAAACCAGTTCTGATAACCCCATGCCTTTTGATTGGAGCATTTAATTCATTTATATTTAGGGTTATTATTGAGAGGTACTTATTTATAT